TAATACTACTATACAACAGTTCATCGCCCTAAGGTATTACAATTATGAGAAGCACTTTACAGCATATGACAATTTCATTAATAATAATTTATACATTTTTATCCAATTATACTGTATACGTATAATGTCACATCGCTTTCTTGAGCAAAAGTATCGGCCAATATAAAATGATAAACAACATAAACAATATGGGGAAACCTATTCTGCTATAAGTATCGATTTTCTGCGATCTTGTCTTGTATATACGTATCATTGGGTATTCAGGATCCAGCCAGGCGTTTTGCAGAAGGTGTTTGCTACCTGCTCTTTTATTTCTTGCTTTTGGTACATACGTTGAGTCATAGTCCCAGATGCTTTGGCCTTTTTCCATGGCAATTATCCGCTAAAAATAACACAGAACTTGAGTCTTTGTGTTTTCATGCTGACTGTATATTTCATGATAGCAATTAACTGAATTTTATTGTATACTGACATTATAAATTCATGTTTGTTAATTAAAAGTGAAAAAAAGATTCAAAGATACATACTACATAATTTATACTCAATAGGTAGTTTTTTAAGTTATGTTTACTTATGATTAATCTTACAATATACTTTAAACAATAAGGAAAGAAAATTTTATCTTCTACAATATTGTTTATTTCTCGTTATATTTTATTCAAATTAATTATATCGGGAAATGAATTAGAATCTTAAAAGTTTGAACAATGTGTTTGTTGATAAACTTGATTAATGAGAGGCATAAATTAATCGGTCATGGACGAGATAACACCGCGGTTTTGACAGCATATTAAATATCTTTTACCGTATTCTATCTAGAAGAAAAATATAATGTTAGACTTGCTAATGCATTTACGTCTGTCTGTTAACGATTAAATCTGTCAATCAAGATTTCAAAACTAGAATTCAAAAGTGGCACACATATACATACAAAGTGCATATCTAATAAACACCTTTGCTTGACGCGTTCATTGAATCTCTTGTTAACCGTTAATTCGCGAGATTCTTCGATTGATTAATGATATTGACCTTGACCAATGCACGCGCGCATACAGGGTGTTAAATAATTATGAATGTGCACGAGGCCAGAATCTTAAGAAGTAAGATTAAATTCTGAGTTTGAAGCATAATCCTTTTACTGTAAATTTGCTCCTTCCACTAACTCTTAAAAAATATAGACTCTTTTCTCTGAATATTTTGTATACAAGGTGCAAACAGTCAAAATATTTCAGTTTTTACAAAATCAACAAAATTTGGTAAAGACACAAGAAAATAGAATATTGTATAATGTTCAAATACTTATGGGAAAAATCAATCTTATAAAAATTCCCCATTTCACTTAATGAATCTCTTATCCTAATCTGTACACGCAATGAAACAATTGTAATACAAACTGTTGAGTAATGTCTCGACATTATCGAGGTCTGTAGATCGTACTCCAACTGATATCGCAAGTCGAGCACTTTAACCACAACGAATTCACCGAGAGCAGCGAACACAAACATCATGCAACCTGCCATCCAAACATCCAGTGCCTATATACACAGAGATATATTAGCACAATGTTTAACACGCAATATTTTCAACCATATCAATAAATCAGCTAAATATGAACGTGTTAATTGGGTATGACGAATTAACACGTCATTTGAAATTTTATCTGGAGTGGGTAAGACGAGTTTACACGTCACAGAAATTCATGCATTTTAGTAGCACACAAACAGTCGAAACATACAATTTTATTTATTCATTATTATTTCATTGTTATTATTATTATCATATATGATTAAAACTCTAAAATAAAAGTTCTACATTTCCAATCATATTTTTCAAGAGAATGGTTTATTTGTGCATTCTGTAATTTTATTATTATTAAATTCATATTAGAAGGAAATTAATACACTTCGCATTTACCGTGGACAGGACGAGTTAACTCGTCTTTGTAGATTTATAACTGTCTTTAGTCCATGAATAACCCACTTAACAGGTTGAGCAATTTAGGAAATCATATTTGTGTAATCTTTTTTAACAAAATACCTTTGGTAATCAATTATCATATTCAATGATAATGAAACCTACTTTTACATAAGCAACTGGAGGAATGTCACTTTTTAGACCAGTAAACATGGTAACCAAAGTGAGCATGCTGGTTACTAAAAGTGCTACTCGACCAGGAATAGCATCTAATCCTAACCAGAAGCTAAACCAAGATAACATCACCACCAACGTGGATGGTGCAAATGTTTGTATCAGGTGATGACCAATTTGCCTCTCGAATCGGAAAAAGACCACTAGCCTTGAGAAATTTCCTGGGAAATAATAGAACATACATTTTCCATGAGACCTGAAAAGAAGTTGTACATCGAAACAATGATCGTACCACTTTTCTCAAGCATGTAATCGACGCTCTCCTCAGCGACCATCGGTTTCCCGATGTCATATTGCAGAAGTTTCAGTTCTGGGTTCACTGTGACGCCACCAGCTCCCCATCTCAAGCGTAACTTCTGTTTGTGATAGGAAACTATCGCGAGTAACGCAGTTTTCAAAGTTAATGCGGTGATTACATAAATTTTCGACTTGTTAAAGAGAGATGATTATTAGTGCGTTACAGCGTGTTAAAGAAGTGTGCAGTATATTTATCTATATATAAAGTTATTATTAATTCATTTTTTAAATTGTTTTATTCTTGAGTTGTTTGTTGTTTTGAAATATAAATGATTATCAGTAAATTTTGTTTAAACTTAATGTTTATTTGGGTTCTGAATTGTCTATGTACATCTTTTTTTCACAAATTTCAAATTCCATTACCGGTATGTGGCGTGTTTAAATAATAAGCAAGTGTTAAAGAATTGTTTCAGTGACAAATATAACGGAGAAGTTAGGAATTAATCAGATTCGAACAGATGTTTCTCTTCTTACAATCTATGTACATATAAATAGAACTTGAATAACCGTTACATATTAGCAAGCACCAATACTGCTGACTTTTGTAACACACTGTATAATGTATGTACATTTTAGAAGTATTATTTAAGAAGGGAATAACTGTTTCGAGAAATTATCAGGAGCGCAGGAGTCAGTGAGAGTGTTGTATCGTACGTTTTAAACAGGTCTCATTTCGTCATCGACTTACAACTCTCTACGTAGATAGGGCATATCTGAATGTCCATCGGGTAGAGTTGAAATTCCATTTGACAGGCGATAATTGCATGCATCCTTGCAGAATATTTCACTGTTTTGTTTCTGTACAAGGTTACTGAAGAGAATTTGTGATTTAACGCCGCAATTTCTGGAAACAAATGATTTTTCAATTTTCAATTTAAACATTCGTTCGTACTTTATCAAAAAATCATTTTCAGGTTAGGTGAAGGTCACACGAAGGTAATTTCGAAAATTGTTTCCAGATCGTTTCAAGGTCATCAACAATTTTTACATACTCTATGATTATGAAAAATTCTCCTTGTCCCGTTCTCAAACTACTTATTTCATTAATTAATAAAAATTTATCAATAACTCATACCTTTTAAATTATTATTGAAAGTATTCGAGGATGTATGATGTATTATAAAGTTCAGTAATTGCAGGTTGAAAAGAGCTTTATATTATCTTCCTTATTCTATATTATAACGAATAATAGTTCCACTGTTTTTCCTTTTACAAAAAGGTGATCTCTCGTAATAAAATTGAAAGATGTAACAATCTTACCAGCAAAAAAGTAAACAATGAAGAATTATGCACAAACGATATGTAAATGAGTAGTAGTTCGTTAACTGAAAGTTAGACTTACCAGAAACTTTTGCATTCAGAAAGTAAGGATCCGGCTGCCATAAACTGTCGAAGAATTCAGGAGGTAACGTGACGTAATCGTCACCCTCCTCGAAAATATCGTCTGGCATATCGAGTCGAGATTCGATCCAACTTTGACGAACGAACATGTCCACTCTATTTGACAAGAAATTCCATTAATTGCATGGCAATTGTTTCGAGTGTTAAAGCTATTAAATAGTAGCTATAGTTAGTGGGAGACATACAACGAAGCTGTAAAATCGGCGTTGAAGTTTACATGTCGAGTATATCGACAAGCGAATCAACAGAAATCTGAGAGGATAAGGGTCCGAAAATTCAATCCGGGTCGCATGAAGTACAGTTGGTGAAATCGATATAGTGAGATTGTAAAATCGGTTAGGTGTAAAAGTACAGTTGGTGGAAGTGATATAGTGAGATTATAAAATCGATTATATGCCTTAACTCTGATTCAATCACAACCGAAAATCTTAAAATGACGTTTAAAGGTATCATGCATTTTTACAATTAACGATGGTTTTTCAATATCCATTTAAGGCCATCGTTTTACTCGTGGGCATAGTTGGCAGCTTTCCCTTATGAATATTCGTACTTTTTTTAAAGTATGGTTAAGCTTACTAACCTACTTTATGAACATTCTTCGTTTTAACCATTTTTTGTTACTTGGACAATTAGCTCCTTAAACATATATTTTTTATTCATTTCAATAAATTCTTCTTGAAAACTTTTGAAAAAAAAAAAAAAACATCTACAACTAAAATCACAACAGAAACATAAACTGATTGAAATTTTACAGACGTCGAAATAAAGTAATATAGATCTTTAATACTAATGTAGGAAAATTAATTACTAAAAACAAGACAGTAAAATTCAACAAAAGTGAAATTATTTATTAGATAGCAATAAATATATACAAGGAGCTTTGTAATAACAATTTGAACCAGTATTACTGAGACACTCGATATATTAAAAATTAAAAATTAAACGAATCCTATTTAAACTATTATAGGAGTGATGCACACAATACCGACCCCAAATGCAAAAACAGTTTTACAGTTTCAGTCGGTAATAGTATAATGTACATTTAAATCACATTTGATATGGTGGTTCACTGATCTCATACGCCCATGCGTGACAGCGTCGAATAGTATTCAGCGCGATACATGGAAATAGCAGTACAAAATATAACATTAAAAATACATAATGTATATTTTATTTGAAGCCAGTTTCATGTGCAGCATCTAGTGTTACATTATTCCACTACACTTTCTCAACTCACCGGAAGTCCATATCCTCCACATTTATCGAATTGATATCAGCCACGAGGATATTGAAGTCCACTATCACCGGCATACCCTGCTTCGATGGAGGCCTAATCTCTGCGTCGTTTTTTGCATTCATTTTCATATTAATTACAAACATATAAATATGAGTTCCGAGCATATACACGTGCACATAGTATTCTCAAAAGGAGTCCACGCATTTAGAGGTTAAGATCGGTTGTTTTACGCTTTTCTGACATTAATGTATGCTCGTAAGTTCGTAGAATATTTTGTTGATAGTTTGATACATTCCATGAGGTTATAATCGAATAAAAAGTATAGATATATAAGATGAAATGTGTTGAACCTCACTGCTAAATCCGAAAAATAATTTTTTGAAAGCATCTGAAAAAAAAATCTTTTTTGAAGAATGTGATGAATTGGATATAATGATAATAAAAAATGAGTACGTGATGGTTCAAAAAGTAGTAGGGTGTATAGAATGCGTGATTTAGCCAGTTCTGGGTAATTAACGAATTATCGAAATTTTTAATTTTTTGAATGTTTCCTTGTGAAATATGTTTTCTGGAAGGTGATTTTTTAAATGGTAATAATTAACTGTATTTTTGTATTCCAGAAGGCTTCTTTTCTATTAATCGCATATTTATCTATTAATTAAATATATCAAAATATAAAATAAATTTCTTTTTATTCTTCACAATGATATTTTTCCTTCTATTTTAATTTCACAATTAGTTTCTCATATATCTTTCGATATTACTTCACGTTTTCATTCAATCTTATTAAAATAACTTTCTATCTGCTTATTTAACATTATGAAATATACATGATACATAAATTACGATGTATCATGCAAACAACTGTTGCTTATAATCTCTGATTTATTTTAATTCGTTACTTCTCTATTAAAGTATACCTGATTTATTCTTCACCCAGTGAAAATGACAATTATATGTACTATTTTTCTTGTCGGTATACTGACGTAATGTCTTATGTATATTCACTCTCGACTCGTATTTCAAGAAATAATTTACAATACTTGTAATATACTCTGACATTAAGTATGTAATGTCTACATATTTCAAAAAACAATTATACATTATTTCCTATACATATTCAATAAATTCAATCTTCTTAATAAGTTAATAACTTAATAAGTTAACCTCTATTTCAATTACGTTCTATTAATCTGACTGCCTTTCTAAGTACTTCATCATGCATTTCTATGCTTTGATGGAGAGCTCAACGAGAGGCGAAACAATACGAGAATCGATACAAGTCTCCAGCTGTGGAAATAAACAAATCAATGACATTATCTATCGTCGATTGATCTTGATGTTGCAAGACCGATCGTAGGCAATTAAATATGTACGTCGGAATATTATGTGCACGTCTGAACGCGTCTCATGATGATCATTCGTACAAAAATAGAATACGTTTTCTCCGCATAAATTTCGAGAAAAGGTATTTCGTTTGAATTGTTGACGAACCTTTCACATAATGCGTTGGCAGGACTATCCTCGATTTTAGTGTGGAGTTTCTCGCGTCATCAATCAGAAAGCTATGAAAAAAATTATCAAAATTTGACTTTGAATTATGGAGAAAATGAAGTGAAATTTTTCAAACTGTTTTTGGAATTAAAAAATGAAAGAAATTTTGTAATCCCTGTTAGAATTATAAAAAATAAATTTTCTAAACGGCGAAAAAAATATTCGAATATTTTCGAAATGTTTGAAAAATTATTTGAATTTTTAAACCTTTCAAATAATACAAAAAACGTGATAAATGTTTGAAATATTTTTTAATCACAGAAAAAATTAAACGAATTTTAAAGTAACTTTTAAATCACGCGATAATACGAATAAATTTTCAAATCTAATTTACATTTTGCTATTGTTTCTGTACTTTTTTATTAATTGCGTAGACAAACAGTTTTTGTTTAATTATAATACCTCGCACTAGAAGGCACTTCCGCGAAGAGTATCAGGCATGAGTAAAAGAAAACTGCCAGGACCGTGTTCTTCATCTTAAGATTTCGACAACTGCCGATGCGTTTTGACCGACCACCCATCGGCTACAATGCGTTCCAATTAACCTATTACATGGCAGTTACACACAATCTACTTCAATTGCAAATATCATCGAATATCTCTTCAAGCCGGCGGTTGTTGTTTCTTTTCTTTGAGTTGCGCAACGTTTCGATATTCAAATGAAATTTTTAAGATATCTTAACATATCAAACATAATCCGATTGCAACGTAAATTTTCAAAAGCTGATAAAATGTAAGCTTGTATGAAGCTTAAAAAATAAACAAAATTATAATTTAT